ACGCCCGGGCGGACGCCGTCGTCGAGCCGCAGCAACGTCACGTCCAACAAGACGCTCAACACGCTGCTCAACCAGTACAAGAGCGCCGAGGTGCCCGCGTCGGCGCGGCTCGATCCGGCGGTCAAGACGCGCGAGCCGGCCAAGATCACACTGTCGAATGCGTGGAAGTACGTGCCCTTCCTGGTCAACCAGGGCATCTCGATTGGCTCGGCGCTCGCGTCGCATGCCATCTACGGCCCGCCCAAGAAGTCGTGGGGTGTCGAGATGTCGGTCTTTACGCGCGTTCTGCGCGACGTGGCCAACTACTCGGAGTTTGCCTCGATCGCCGGCCTGCAGCAGTTCTTTGACCTGGGCGCGTTCCTGCCCACGCCCAAGGACGGCCTCATCACGCCCGTCACGTTCCGCGTCAAGCGGCGCAACCTGCGCGGCTTCCTCGCCGAGGCCGACGCCGCCGAGGACGGCAAGCGCGAGATCAGCGGCGAGTGGGTCGTCGGCAAGCAGACGTGGCGCCGGCTGCAGGCCGAGTGGCGCAACGGCAAGCAAAAGGGCAAGGAGCGCGTCATCCTCTACATCCACGGCGGCGCCTACTTTGTCATGTCGGCGGCCACTCACCGCCCGCTGACCATCTCGCTGTCCAAGTACACCGAGTGCCGCGTGTTTGGCATCAACTACCGCCTGGCGCCCGACACGCGCTTCCCGGGCGCGCTCCACGACTGCGTGGCCAGCTTCTTCCGGCTGACCGACGACCTCGGCATCCCGGCCAGCAACATTGTGCTGGGCGCCGACAGCGCCGGAGGCGGTCTGGCGCTCGCCACGATGATGTACCTGCGCGACAACGGCTACGACCTGCCGAGCGGCGCGATGCTCTTCAGCGTGAGTCCGGGCGCGCGCCGGCGTGTGGCCCTGGCAGCCGCTCTCGGTCCAACAATCGCGCCTTGTCCCATCCACTTTTCGTCGCTGACCCTCCATACCTCTCGCACCCCACTCTCTCCCCCTCTCTCTCCCTCTCTGCAACCTTTGCCTTGCAGCCTTGGGTGGATCTGACAATGTCGTGCGACTCGTGGGAGACCAACTCCGAGTTCGACTACCTGCCGATGCCCATCAGCGGCGACCACATGAACCCAGTCAGCGCCTACCTGGGCGACAATATCGACAAGTACCTCACGCACCCGTACGCCAGCCGTGAGTACCAGCCGCGGGCCGTGCTGCGATGCCGGCACCGGTCGGAGCTCGCACACGCGGGGGCTGAAGCTGACCTAGTCAGCCCACCCGTCCACCCCTTCTCGCCCCCCTCCCTGCAGCCCTGTTTGGCGACCTGCACGGTCTGCCGCCGCTGCTGATCCAGTGCGGCGATGCCGAGGTGCTGCGCGACGAGGTGACGCTGCTGGCGCACAAGGCGTCGCTGTCGGGCGTGGCGGTGCGCCACGAGCTGTACGAGGACTGCGTGCACGTCTTCCAGGCTTTCCTCTTCCTCGACGCCAGCCGCAAGGCGCTGCAGAGCGCGCGCCACTTTGTGCGCACGGCGCTCGACAAGCGGGGCCGCAAAAAGGCCGCCGAGGTCAGCGAGGGGGCGCGGCGCGGCCTGGACCGCGAGATGCGCCAGAACATGGAGGACACCAAGGGCGCCAAGGTGGGCGCCTCGACGGCGGGTCCCCCCGCTCCCGCAGCCGACGGCGACAAGGACGGCAAGGGCAAGGCGGCGCGGCCTACGGGCAAGGACGAGGATGCGACGGCGACCACTGCGTCGGCCGACGGCGGGCTGGACGAGATCATGAACCGGCCCGCCGCCGCAGCTGCCGACGACGACGACGACGACGAGGCAGCCGAGGGCCGGGTGGGCAACCCGACCGACGAGGAGGACTGGGAGCTGGACCGGCGCGCGTCTGGCGAGTTTGCGTCGGCTGCGGTTGCGGATGCGGCGCAGAAGGCGGCCGCCGGCTCTCTGCAGGCGGCGCAGAAGGCGTTTGGCCACGACGACGACTTTGCGACGCGGGCGACGAGCGCCGGGCGCGATGCGGTTGCCAAGGCGGCCACGGGCGGCGGCGACGACGACGAGGTGGCCGACGAGAGCGACGTTGCGACGCCGATGGCGCGGGCGTCTCCGAAGCAGGGTCACGCCCGGCTGGCGTCGGAGGGATCGGCGACGAGCAGCGGCGGCGGCAGCAGCAGCAGCAGCTTTCCCGCGATTACGATTGAGGAGGCGCGGCTGCGCGGGCAGGCTGCGATGCAGCAGCAGCTGTCTACGCACGCACCGGCGCTGAGTAAGTTCCACGCGCCGCAGAAGCCGCTGACGCCTCGGATGCGGCGGAGCCAGAGCGGGCGGGAGCTGAGCGGGCTGATCAAGAGCTTTGAAGAGTCCAAGGGGGCGGGCAAGGCGCTCAAGACGAATGTCTGGACGCCCGGCGGCGGCTACTCGGAGGGCGACCCGGCGGGCGGCGGCGGCGGCGGCGGCGGCCAATGAGGTGCCGGACCAGGCACAACGCGGTCAGGGCCGAGCGAGGGATCGAAACACGAACAAGCAAGGACATGCGAGCGAGCAAGCAGACAGGCAAACGATTCGAATAGAAGGGACTCGCAGTGAATCTCATCGACTGGGCCGGCGGACGCGATCCCGACCAGTCTTGGTATTGATCTTCTTGACTCGAGCCAGCCAGCCAGGTCTGTCTGTCTGTCTGTCAGTGGACGGCGTCGGGCAGTGTCAAGGGCCAACGAGACGGAGCAGGCGGACGGGACGAATGAGGAGAGCGGAGGATGTGGTAAGGTCGTCGACCTCGGCCAGGTCAGCGCCTGGCCAGGCCTGGCAGCAAGGATGCCGAGCCCAACAAGGAAGGACGTGTGGAGGATGAGGTGCCGCGACCAAAGCCCCGCCCCGCCTCGCCTGGCCCTGCGACGGCTGTCTGTGCGCACTTTGCTCGCTCGCCTGGCCAGGCCTGGCAGGCCGTCACTCCCGCACCCTACAGTCAGTTGCTCGGCAGGAGGATGCCGAACGGGCCCCTCCTCCTGCCTCCACCGTTTCAGCGCGCTTTCCCCGCTCTCGATGCCTCGGAGTTTAGCGGGCGACCGATGCACGGCGGGCGAGAGAGGATGTTGCTCTTCAGACCGGCGGTCGGCCGTCGTGCTGGCTTGGACTACCTAGGGTATAAAGGTCCTCCCGCCGTCCTGCCCGCAGTTGAAGACTGCACCGCTAGCAGCGTCACCACCACAGAGACCGACACCACCACGACGGTTCTTGCCGACACAACTACCGACACAGACACAGACACAGCCATCGATCGGCCCAGCCCACAGCCCAGGATGACGACGCAGACGCAGCCACGGTACACGGCACCGCTGCGCGGAACACGCACCCTCGTCATCGGGGGCACGTCGGGCATCGGATTCGGGGTAGCCTCTGCGCTGATCGAGGAGGGGGGAAGCGTGCACGTCGCCTCGTCGTCGTCGGCCAAGGTCGACGATGCCGTGCGGCGCCTCTCGTCGCCCGCGACGCAGTACAATGCCGACGCATCCCGCGTCACCGGATCGACCGTCTCCCTCTCCGGTCCGCAGATGGAGGCTTCGCTCTCGGCCCTCTTCCAAGAGGTGGGTGGGCAAATCGACCACCTCGTCTTCACCTCGGGCGATGCGCTGGCCATCAAGCCGCTCCGCGAGTGGAGCTACGACGACCTGGTGCGCGTCGGCGACGTGAGGTACTTTGGCGCCTTCCTCGCCATCAAAACCGCCATCGTCGGCGGTCACCTCAAGCGCGGGGGCAGCATCACCCTCACCTCGGGCAGCATCGCCGAACAGCCACGACCCGACTGGACCGCCGTCGCCGGCTTTGCAGAGGGCCTCGTCGGCCTCACGCGCCAGTTTGCACTCGACCTCGCACAGCACGGCGTCCGCGTCAACCTCGTCATGCCCGGCGTCGTCAAGACGGAACTGTGAGTCGCCAGTCGCTCGTCGTTCGTCGCCAGTCGCCAGTCGCGAGTCGCGAGTTGCCCGTCGTTCGTTCGTTCGTTGCGTCACGTCGCGCCTCCCTTGCCCTCGGTCTCAGCCGTGGTGCGCGGTAGCTCGGAGGAAAGGCAAGGAGCAAAGGCTCACGCTCTCCGCTCCCCCCCTTCCCTCCGTCTCCCGACCTGCTCTGCTGCTCGCTCGCATGCGTCCTTGCGACGACAGATGGGACCCGATGCCGCAGGACGTGCGCGACCACGTCCTCGCCGAGGCCGCCGAGGCGACGCTGACGAAAAAGTGCGCAGAGGTCCAGGACCTCGTACATGCCTACCGTGAGTCCGCGCCTGCCCCGCCAGAGAACCGCCTCTGAGGCACTGGACTGAACCACCGTCTCGCTCCCCCCCCCCACACTTGTGGGCCACCGGCCCGCCGGCCAATAGTCTACCTGATGAAGGATACCAACATCACGGGCCAGGTCATCCGTTCCGACGGCGGAAGCGCCCTCGTCCCCTGATCGCGCCGTCGCTCCGGTACTGCCACCCGCCTTGCATGGATCTGCGCAACCTATGCTTTCCTTGTCTATGGTCGTCAGACCAAAGTCTACCCGGGTCTGTCTTTGAGATCTTCCGACGACGACGGCGACGTTCGCCTCGCCTCGCCTCGCCTCGCCTTGCCTCTTCTCAGGCATCGACGGGGGTGCCCCTGATGACGAGCGGGATAAAGGCGCCCGTGGCCGGCTTGATGCGGCTGTGGCCCGTGACGCGGAACAGGCTCTGCATGACGCCCGAGTGCGACGTGATGCCAATCACTGTCGGTCGGGCGGGTGGACGAAGCGGGGGAGGGGGGCAAGGGGGAGCGGCAGAGTACGGTTAGTGCCCCCTCTTCTTCCTTTCGTGAGATGTTGCGCGGCACGGCACGGTACGCACCATCGTGGTCGTCGTCGTTCCACACCTGCGCCAGCGTGGCCTGGATGCGCTCGTCGACGTGGTCGTTTGTCTCTCGCTCCGTCTGGTGGGTTCGTGGCAATTGACGCACACACACACACACACACAGAGAGAGAGAGAGAGAGAGAGAGAGAGAGAGAGAGAGAGGAGAGGCGAGAGTACAGAGTACGTACCGGTACCGACCGTACGTCGTCCGTCCGTCCGTTCGTCGTACGTACGGACGGACGGTACGGACCGGGCCGGG